ATGTTTGTACACTTCAAAAGATACTATAAAATCGTTCCGTTATACGATGGAAGAAACAGTACAAGTAATTGCGGAACATAGAAACAGCACTGTTTTATGACGTCACATTGTCAGTACTGGCAGTGAATATCGGAATGCACCCATAGACTACTCCCTCTTGTGGAAAAAACATGTCGCGGAAACAAGAAGGAAGGTTCTTCCCCGCATCAACATTCTCAAAGCATTGGCGGGAGTTAGGTGGGGATCTCACTCTTCCGTCCTGCTGACTGCGTACAAAGGACTGGTACGTTCCGTGTTGGAGTGGGGCTGCCAGGTCGTGTTTCCGCTTGGAACTCGGGAAGGCGTTGTTCTAGACCGCTTACAATATGCGTGTGCCAGGATCGTTTGTGGCCTTATGCGCACAACTCCAACTAATGTGTTGCTAGACGTCATCGGGGAACAACCGTTGCGGTGCCGACACAGATATCTGGTCAGTAAGTACGTGTGCAGGGTTTATGCTAGGTCTAGTCACCCTCTCGGACAAATCCTAGAAAACTCCTGCAGGACGTGGGAACCCTTGTGCTCGGCTAATGAGTTCGGACTCTTTTCCGTGTATCAAGAACTTCAGTGTCATCTTAAAGAAATTAGAAGGTTTGCACTTCCGGGAAGCCTTGCCCTACCGTTTCGTGCCGGGTACTTTAAGTGCGAGGTAGACACTGATACTGGACTACTTATACGCCAGGCGGAAGACCCTCAGTACTGTTTTAGCAACTTCCTCAAAAGTCGGGACGTCTCTAGGGTGTTCTTTACTGACGGCTCCCGTGCTCCGGGCTTGGACGGAACGTCTCCCGCGGTAGGTTTTGCTGTGGTTTCGGAGGATCCGGAGCTTGTCCACTATGAACGCGTTAGCAATAACTCTACTATCTTTGACGCTGAAGCCCAGGGCGTTATCTGCGCCCTGGAGTACTTACAAGAATTTAGGTTCGCAAAGGCCGTTGTGACCTCTGATTCGTTGAGCGTTATCTCCTGTTCGGGGTCAACTGATCCCAAAGGAGTACACTCCCCTCTCGTGTACTGCATAAAGGAAATAGTAATGGGGTTGAGGGATACAGGCGTATTTGTGGTACTGATGTGGGTTCCTGGACACTGCAATGTTAGAGGCAATGAGTTGGCCGATGTGTACGCTAAACGCGCTCTAACTCTCGCTGAACCACGTCCGGAGGGCGGGCTTGACGTTTCTTCGCTGTTTCCCACACTTCGGCGAGAAGCGCTGGACATGGCTAAGAGACAACTACTGGAAGAGGCAACCAGCAAGGGAACCGCGTATTTCCTGAAAAAACCTGCACCGCTGGGTAAACCCTGGTTTGTCAAAGTAAAGAAAAAGAAGGTCCTACCCCGCCCGTTGATCACACTTGTGTCTAGAATACGTTCACATCACACGGCTGTCAACCTACACTTGAAACAGAAAGGCATTGTGGCCTCCTCGGAGTGCCCGTGTGGCCACCCTGTACAAGATGTAAACCACGTCTTCCTCCAGTGTCCTATGTATAAGGACCACTCCGATAAGTTAGTAATCGATTTNTATCATAACGGTTTCAGCCCTCCCTACAGTGTAGAGAAGGTGGCCTTTTCCAAGTGTTTTCGCTCAATGTACGCTCTCCTCTCTTTTGCCAATGCAACCAATATCAACATATAAACCCCTACCATAAAAATTGAAAACACCTTCAACCTTATTACACCTGTTCCTTTTACCCTTTTTCCCTGTAAATGTAGCACCTGTAATAAAGTCCCTAGTATCACACCTTTCAATCAGATTATCTCAGACTGGCTTTTGCTCCTCACGTGCAGGGGCGTGCGCCATAGAAGCAAAGAAGAAGAAGAAGAATATTTTTGGACAATATTAGGTGTTTTTACACCACTTTCAATATTATCTCATCGTAGTCTCTAGTCTAAACAAGTACATACTAGTAATAATAGTAAATCGAAGACTGGCAATATGGTCCGTTATTGTTTTAGACCCGGTTTCACAATTCGCGGTTAACTCGAATTAGCCGAAGTTCGACTTGCTGAGCTCGGTTTAACCATAGACTTATATATAAATAGACCCAGCGTTCTGTGAGAGGAGTTGTCCGCGTCTTCTAAAGGACGGAACGATATGCATCCAGGTGCTGTCTCCGTCGCTCCGCCGGTCTGGAGGGGGAACGTCGATGGATAACGTTGAAGGAAAGC